CTGACATCAGCCGATCCTAGGAACCTGGGGACATGGCGCCTGAGAGTGCTACCAAATTGTCAACTCTAAGAGAAACGTCTTGCATTGAAGATAGGGTGAATTGCAACGATGCTGAAACGTAAAGGATGCTGTAGGACCAAATAGGACCTGCCAAGGTGAACAATTGGGAATGTCACTTCCGATAGAATGTTCGAGACGGTCAAATGGGAAATCAACTTAACGAACGACAAGTTGCAAGGCACGTGTAAGGGTAGGTCGGTTGATGTATTGCGCTACGCAGTAAAGTGACCTCACTGATCGCCAATGGCTAAGTCAAAGATCAGGGTTGCGGAAGGTCACCCGACCGGACCCTGACCTTTGGCGACGGTTGTGGCTGCTTATCGTACTCCCTGATAGAACAATCAGCCCCTCTGGGCGTCTACGCAGTGCTCCGACACTTGGGACGATCTGTTTGATCGTCCTCGGGGCAGCTTCGATTCTGCAGGTACAACACAAAGCACTGTTCCTCGGTGGTTAGGAAGTTAGGTAGGTCAACCTTGGTCACCTATCCTGCCATGAGGTCTGCGTAAGTTGAATGTCGATCATCGTAAGGGTCCCCGATCATTTGCCGATCGAAGCGCGACCCTCCTCATTCTCCCGGAGCTTGATGTCCGTTCCGCAGCATTGGGGGGCTGCACGTGTAGAAGACATGCTCTGGAGGGCATTCTATGATTAGTTAGACGTCGGAATGCCTCACAGTGTGCGGCTGAATGCTGCGCTTGCTGCCGCTGGGGATTTTCGTATAACCACTTTCGAAATACGGTCAATATGGTCATCTAGCCAAGGGCATATTAGAGACCTTGGCTTTCTTCCCGCAACAAGCAAGCTATTATACCTGTACATCCTGATAGGCTCCGTTCCGGAAAGATTTATGGCAATGTGCGTCTACGAATGTCAACAACCGCATGTCGCTTTCGCAAGGATTACAAAATTGTTGGAACGTGTCGCTGTTGTAAGGCAGACTTACTGATCTCTGCCCCAGTGCACATAAGGAAAAGGGATGACAGGTTTTCTCATATATACTCATCACCCCCTGGCAAGAAGGGAGTATCTTGCATTAAGAGGTAGCGAAGAAAGCAAGGAGATGCGGGACAGGTACGTGGAGAGCAGTACATACATGTACGTGCTGATGACGATGCGGTGATCGGCCAGCGCCGTCCCGTCATCATTAGTGATGGTCGAAACGGCACCTCTGGAAAGTCGGCACAGTACTTTGTTCGACCGAGCCACTTTTCGTTCTCCCGAGCAAATTGAAAACTAGGATCATGTAGAGGGAATCGGAGCCATATGTGGCTTTCGACGTCACCCATGAATACCTCCTTCGTCAGTAACGTAATTTGTGTGCACTAGCCTCGAACTAAGCTGCCCCTCTGTCTTTGTGTCTGATAGTCAGGTTAGCAGAAAGGTGCTTTTTGATTGTGATGATGATGCGATGCCCAGGTGACCAGGTTGCCGATGCCATTGTGAGAAAGAAACGAAAATCATTAATTGACACATGCCATGCAAGCCATATTGTTTAGCATGATCATATCTATTATCGTTGTCAAAATCAACTTCCATGTTTAAGTCACACCTGATTTCTGCTCTCTGACTTCTCGACTTTCAATCGACCTCCATAAACAGTCAGTACTTCAGCACACGTATCATATCGCATCACCCACAGGCACAGCTCTTGTCTTGACTGTCCGAGCAACAGATCGCGTGCTGCTGAATACTTTCGCAAGCCAGGCAATTCCCCGTTCGCGGTAAACTGTGCATCTCGCTGGAACGGAACGAGTCATACCCACCCAACAACGGCCGCTGGTTCTCTCATTTTCAGGCCATTGATCCTCTACGCATCGACCAAGCCATCTCGTCTTACGCCAGTCTTACTTCATTGGTAAACATCCCACAACCAGGCAGATCGAGACCTTTCAAGCCCGAAAGTTTATTCTTATCCCTCGCCATTGCCGCCTTAGGGAACTGCCTCACAGGGGATCTGTGTCTTGTCAGCCTCAGCCCGCCGCAGTCTGACTTCGACCTGGCACTCCCAAGAAGGTCCTCAGCCAGCCTTTTAATCAGTTTCCAGCAAACCATCCAATACTTGGCGTTATTGCCAACACGCCAGCGACAAGGGTTCGCCAGGGTCGATGAAAGAAAAGCAGAAGCAGCAAACAAGCGACCGAGAAACTATTATTGAACGCGGCTTGGTCGCAATCTCGTCCATTGAACGCCACGCTTTGTCCAGCTCTGAGTACCTCATACTGCAACATTGACAAGGCTGTCTGTCAGATCTTCAATACACATCAAGTGTCGCCGGCAGGCGCCCGATTCCTGTAATAGGCTCCCGACAGGGTGTCTATTCCGCGAACAGCGTCCTGGCTCCTTATCCACGTGCATGGCTATTGCAGCCAGAATCTGCTGCCGCATCAGTTAGTACCCTGCGCGAAGGCCCAATATTGATCATTCGAATCATATCCCCAATCAAGCAAGCAAGCAAGCAATCAATCAATTTATTGTCTGCCGCCAGACCTTGGGAAGCTGAGACTTACACTGCGTACTTATCACTGGACGGCCGGAACTTGACAGGCGTAATCTGCCACCAATTCCAGCCGACTCAGGGTCACCTTGGAACTCGTCTCGATCTGACGATTTTCTGTTCTCGTCGCCTTCGCTGGCCCACGAGCCTTACCCGACCCAGCGAACCTAACAAGCCAGGAAGAGCTAGGCGAGCTAGGTACCTTATCTAGGCCTTTGCCAGGGTCGGGAACAGTCTTCCACCACCAGGTCCACCCATCACCGCTAAAGAGACAAGGTCTCAGCCCAGCAGGACACTTGCGCCAGTCCGTCGTAGCGCGGACAGGCTAGAGGCTTGGGGCTATCGATCATCTCGTCACAACTCGCGAAATCTCGACATCGCCAGCCAGTCTGCTTTTAACTTCCGGCTTTTAATTAGCTTGTCAGCCCGACTGAAGCCATTGCCTCTCTCTTCACGACAACAAGAATAATACTACTACTAATCCTCTACATTCTGACAACACACAGTCACTACTCCCTCCCTTCAACTTTTCATCGAAGTTGACATCTACACACATACATATATACATACGCGAAATCAAAGAGTCTTTACTCCCTCGCCGGGTTGTGTTGCCGGATCTTCCACTTGATCTGCAAGACGATCGGGTTCCCGATACTACCTACAATTACGCTTCTATCCCACCGCACTTTCAGCAGGACGACCCCCCTTGCGCTTAGCTTCACCAGGCGGTACCGATCTGCGTACATTACCCACCTACAGCTGTGAACTTCACCGCCGTCGCTTAGAAAACATCAGGACCAGACTTCGCTCTTCGTGATCGAACCTGCTGAACAAGTCGACCACATCAGCCCTCGCATCGACTTGACAGCTGCTTCTCGCACCCAACCGCCGGAGAGCTGCCTCGATCGAAGCAAAAAGAGCCCTTCCGATGCGCTCGTCAGCGATTCGACAACGCTCATATACACTCAACATCAGAGTACAACTACCACCACATCAAATAAGGAGAGCATCTCACACAGCGATAACAACTACACCGAAGGCAGACGCAATGGCTGCGATATACCCTCTGCCAACCCTCAGTAGCAGCGTGCCACATCACAACCGAGACATGGTGTTGCAGAAATATCTCCTTTTGCAGGAGCAACATGAGTCGTTATTGGAGCATCTTGACCAGCTCCGTCCCTTGCAGACGGGCAACACCGTCACCACTACAGCGACAACGTCACCTGCAACAACTCCGACGCGGGCCACATTCACACTTCCCAATGCCTTTCACACGACGCCACATCACTTCCGAACATCGCCGACACCACATGCCACTGGCCACCAGAGAAGGGCATCACTTCCTCAATACTCAGCACCGAGGATGCATGCGGACACCGGCATCGATGCTGTGATGGATGGGAATACACGGGCCGAGCTAGCACTTGAGGAAGCGAAGCTGTGTGATGTCAACGAGGGCATCAAAAGGGCTTTGACCGAGCTACTGAATTGCAATCTGGTGCGCGAGGATCGCGCTTTCAGAACCTGGGTCCAGTGCCGGCTCATGGAGACCGAGAAGGAACTACGACACGGCAGGCGGCGAAGAAGTTGCCCAATCGACTAGAACGTGACGGACATACGAGACTGGCTGGGATCCTTTTCCTGAGACGGTTTGCATAGTTTTCGCCTTCCTTCTGTCGAATCCTCTCGCAAAAGTCACGTCAGGTCTGTAACACACTGGTCCGCCTCGACGCGGAGCACGCCACTGGTAATCGAATTGTACCCTTACACACAACTGTATATCTTCGGCGCGGCAGGTCTAGCTGGGCATGGACAAGTACATAATCCGACATTGTTTTGGGTGGGAAAAGTGCCTGATTTAGGGGCAGAACGGCGCTGGCAGGGGCCCGCCCAGGGCGTTTGGGTAGCATGCGAGCGAGCGAGCGGAACAATTATTATGTTTCGTTCATTTGGCGTTTTCTTTCCTGCTTCTTTCAACATTGCATTGTATGCATAACGATACCACCCACGAGGATAGACTTGAATCATGAATTCCATTTAAGAAAGCTTATCTTTGAATTATGTGTGAGAATTGAGTATGCCACAGCTTCAGAATCGTGTCTCTCCAAGTACTCTTTTTGCTGCGTTCCAGTGTGGCTATTGGAAGATCTCGAAAAAGTGAGTCGCGGCCAGCGTTGGTGTGGCGTTGATGTGGCGCATTAGTCCATTTTGCTGCCTAGACGGCTGTGGCTAGGCTGGGCGCGTCGCGATTTGTCGTCAATCACTTTACCTCATGGGTGACCCTTGGTGATGGTCTTTTCTGAGATTCAAACACCCCTAACAACCGACACCATTGTGACACTCACCAGACTGCGTATGGATATCACAGTCACGTGCTTGCGACCCGTTGCGCTGTGTTGGGCTTCTGCTCTCGATTCCGGATTCTTGCGCCGAGGGAGCCATGTCTGTTCTACTTGAGACTACCGCTGGCGACATCGTCGTCGACTTGCTGGTCGACTACGCACCCAAGCTGTGCGAAAAGTAAGTCTTCTCCGTCAAGCTAATTATTGTGAGCTTTCTGACCGGCTAACAACAGCTTCCTTAAACTGTGCAAAATCAAATACTACAACTTCTCGCCAATCCATTCTATCCAGAAATCCTTCTCTTTCCAGACAGGCGATCCCCTCGGGCCGCTGTCGGCCGACTCCGATGGTGGTACTTCAATATGGGGCCTGCTCTCCACCAAACAAACCGACAAGACCTTCCCAGCTCTCTTCCACCCCAAACTCAAGCACCTGGAACGTGGCACGGTGAGTATGGCTACCGCGCCAAATCCCTCGGACCCAGACACCAGGTTGGCGGGGTCACAGTTCATTGTCACGCTGGGGGATAATACAGACTACCTCGACGGCAAGGCAGCCATCTTTGGAAAAGTCGTCGAGGGCTTTGACATTCTGGAGAAGATCAATGACGCCATAGTCGACGACAACGGCTACCCGCTGGTGGACATGCGAATTAAGCACACGGTGGTGCTCGATGACCCCTATCCAGATCCTCCAGAACTGCGCGAGCCGAGCAGCTCTCCCCCGCCAACTAAGGCCCAGTTAGCGACCATTCGCATTGCTGAGGGCGAGGCTGATAATTTAGACAATGAAGGAAACGAAGATGCCGCCGCCGCCGCCGAGAGGACACGTCGCGAACGAGAGGCCCGAGCGCAGGCCTTGACATTGGAGATGATGGGCGATCTGCCCTTTGCTGAAGTGAAGCCACCGGAAAACGTCTTGTTTGTGTGCAAGCTGAACCCGGTGACCGTGGATGCCGATTTGGAGTTGATATTCAGCCGGTTTGGTAAGATCCTCTCCTGCGAGGTGATACGGGATCAGAAGACGGGAGACAGTCTGCAATATGCATTCATCGAGTTTGAAGACAAGACTGCTTGCGAGGCCGCCTACTTCAAGATGCAAGGAGTGCTGATTGACGATCGACGGATACATGTGGATTTCAGCCAAAGTGTGAGCAGACTGAGCGATGTTTGGAGGAATGACACCAATATGAAACGGAAGGAGAAGGCTGGAAGGGGCCGTGGCGGCTGGGGCGGTGTCAAGGATTTGGAGAAGTGGAGAAAGTATAGGGTGCAAGATGATAGAGATGATGTCGAAGATGCGTATGAAATGGTCTATGGAGATGAGGAAATGAAGGGTCACGCAGCACAGGACCGTGATAGAAGGCGAGAAGCACCAAAGCAACGTGAGGGCCCAGATCGGGATGCCGACTCAGATCGACGTCGACACGGTGGTTGGGATAGCCGCAATGATCGAAGCGAGAAATTCGAACGAAATAGTCGTCGAAGTCGAAGCCGAAGTCCTAACAGGAACCGCTACCGAGGCTCGAGACGCTCAGACCGTGAAGAGCACCATCGAGACTACAGGGATTATGAGAGGCCGCGGAGATCGGATAGGGCTTATCACGATACCGACAGAAGATAAATCATCATGGCCACAAGTTACCGTTTTCTTGTCGGTGTATTGTGGAGTTCCCATTCAAGAAAAGCGTACAATCAAGCGAGGTTAACATAGCCTAAGCTGTTTGAGCGTATTGCCGTCGGACATCGTGCTATCTGTTGGCCTGTTGGCATGCGACGGTTCTACGTTCATTCGTATGGTCAATGTTGATGAACCTCGGAAGTTGAGCGCTGAGAATGTTGTCACAACGGCTGCGTCCCCTCAGCAACCGCCATCAAGCTACAAACTAAGCTGTGTATTGGAGATCATTTGACAGGGGCCTAGTCAATCCTTCCCTGTCAGCCAAGTCCTGCTTGACAATTGAAGGCACAACACTTGCTCATGGTGAAGGATTTTGACGATGCACCACCGCCTACTACCTATGGATCTTAACCATCTGTGTCGGCCATTGAGCAGCTTACACAATTAGTTGTCTGCCGCCGATTGATTACGCCCAGCCTGTCTGTCGCCTTGGGTATGAACGTACTGCTTGAGTCTCAATTCTATATCAAAGCTAATCAGTGGGTAGTCATTTGGCATGAGGGCTGAGGCTTCATTCTAAGTAAATATCACGAATTTGCCTGCCAAAGAACAATTGACATGTTGGCATAAAGCTACGACAGGATTGGCTACCTACTGATATCTATAGTAAGAAGCTTAGCGCTCGTTGCCCGTCGCTGTACAGCTCGGTCAGCCCAGCCTAGTCCCCTGCCGAGTTCCCCGTTATATCTTTCATTGCATCGGATAAGATGCGCCTGCAGCCTTACTACAGACCCCCCTTCCATGTTTCTTGCTGGCCGGAGATATTTCTGAAATAAGACATAACAAATACTATTCGATGTCCAAGACACAACCTCGGAATTATCGATAGGCATTGTAAAAGCCCGAATGTCAATAACCATGCACGCGCTAGGTTGACAACGCGCAGTAACTTACCTTACGTGAAGGCTGCTGGCCTCGTGGTCCAGATACCTGCCTTTCCGCCGTTACCTGCAAGGTCCCCGCACCCTTGTTGTATCACTTGGCTCCAATTGTTGGGTTTCCTAGTACTACTCGGGCCGGCCTCAACCTGTGTTCCTACATCCCGTTCAACGTGTTGCTATTGATGGATGGTTGCGTCGCTCGACATCTGGGTGTTGTCCATTTCAGCACTCTGCGGCATTCGACACCCTTGCGTCTCAAACTGCAGACCCACTTTGAAAGGCTTTACCGGCGGCTGTTTCGACCGAAGGACTGTTTATCAAGTTATACGGCACGGTCAGGTGGATGTCATGATGCTGCTCTGACGGCGGACGAAAGAGCCACCAATCAGAGCCCATAGTATCTTATCCGGGCATACCTTGTGCGACCTCACCGGCACCTGAATACTGCCAACGGAAGCCTACGATGTATTCCAGGACGCCATACCCTTATGGTGTTGCTTTGGGAAAGCCGCGCATGACATAAAGTGCCAAGACAAGTGGGAATCATTGGATGATCGCTTCCTAAAGGTGTTTTTCGAGAGTCGATCATGTCAGGGGCTCAGCCGCTATGCAAGCCACATATCAGGGCTGTCTATCAATACATTTCGAAAGGTGACAGCCAACAATTAAGCGGATAGTTCTAAGACCGTCGAGATCATCATTTTCGTTGCAGTGGACATGTCTCGCTATCTAGCCTCCTAAACACGGCGGTGTTACACATAGCTCCAATCGGTTTTGAAGATGAAAGGTCCTCCAGTTCCAATCATTGAAGAATGGGAATGTTACACCAACGGGAAGCTGCATATTCGACCGGGGATAGTTAACGCTGACAGCGGAGCACGGAACAAGCCTGTCGATAGCCGTGAGAAGGAGGGCAACTGTCTTTCTGACACTCCCCGCCGCTGGTTCGTCTAGACTGTCTGTCTTGCCTGTTGTGTACTAACTTGGCTCTGCCACTCTTCGTTTACTCGAAGTGGGGAAATTAACATGAAGAGGGCTTTTTTGACCGAGTTTATTGTCTATATCATGCTGTGACGCCACAGATGAGTATTACCTTTCGATACGAGTTGCTCGATTTTAAAAGGGAAAAAGGATACGTCGGCAAGGATTTCGACATATCTTTGTTAAGCATGTGGAGTTTTCTGAAGGGACGGCACTTTGAACATCTGGTTACTCTTTGACCAAACTACTTAAACGTATGTTGAAAAGTAGAGCAAATTGAGGGACGTGTGTATGTCCCGCATTTGCATTGCCTCCGCATATCATGCTTAGGCTTTTCAGGTAAAGCATCGGCTTTTTGAGCCCATCTATCAACCTTTTGACCGGTCCGAGCCTGTGCCCTCCAAAATACGGCACCGTGCCATGCCCTGAGATGAGGCAAATCACATGCCCTCAAAAGTACTATGTGGAGCGGTAGAGAGTAAAAGGGGCAGAGCGTTGCAATCCCGACACCCTGTGCTTTGAAATCAGTACGGTGTCATATCACTACTGCAAGATATGACGCCCCGTTGCAGTACAGCACGGCCAAAATAGCTGCCACCCTCTCATGTTCAAGACGAATCGGATGCAATAGCCCCCTGCGCCTTCTTGCAAACTACGATCGCTCATTTTTAGAGTATGTAGATTACCCGATGGAATCGAGTCGAGAAAATGATGAGAATAGTGTACGGCTCTCCCATGCATGTCAATGGACCGCTGACCAACTATGGACTTCTGTGGCTGACGACTCACTCCGGGAAAAGCCCTAGCATTCTCAGCTCGTTGATTGCTAGCCCCTACCTAACGACATTTTTGCAATTTGAGAGGGAACCCTCAAACATGTGCTAAAAATACCAGAGACTATCTCTATACAAGTCGCAAACTGCGGTGTCAGAACACGCTGTTACATGGATTGCTACAACGACACAGGTGCCTGTTTCTCGGTCTCACTTGTGGAGCAAGCAAACAGGCTCTTTTCATGAACGTTGAACCATTTCTGGCAATCTGAAAGTGGTAATGCTAACCGCGTGCCTTGTACTACACTAAATAGTGGGGGCGGTTACAAGAGTAGATTGCTCCCCAAGATTGTCAGATGAGCCAGGTCAATCCTCAATTGAGGGCCCGGGTGAGGCACACACTTCTCATATGTCAGAAGTTGCGGCAGCAAGATCATCAAGCAAACAAAAAGGAGCGGTACGAAGCGTATCGTTTGCCCGGCTAGGCAGTCGACATCCGACTTGGCCTACTGAATTCATAGGAACAGAACGATGTACCCTGAAGAATGCTGCTGCCTTGACTGAGCGATCACAGATCAGACCTCCAAACATTCCAGCGAATGTCAACACAATCATGCTCAACTACGTTGACCATAACGCCATCATCCACCCCGTTGTAACCCAAACTCATGGTTCTCGACCCCAGCCTGGTGCCAACTCAGGAGCTGAGCCCCTTCAATTTTTGCCCTGCGTCAACACACTAGAGACTCGTGTCACACCGGTATGCACAGAGAAAAGAATGGTGGGGGAAAAGAGTCAAACATTGCAGTTCATAGGTTGCAGACGAAAACTTGCGTCACAGACCAAAGCTAAGCACGTCCTTCTCTTCTCCGCGTCTTTGCCAAGACAAACTTGTTGAGACTGTTTCTCAGGTGGCTCGGAGCACTGTGGTGCCAATGTTTCACATTGCGTTTGCTTCAGGAGGACGGTAGTGGTTGGTTACGACCTACCTGACCTCATGTTTGCTTCCACCATTTTCACTTCTACGTCTTGACATTCATTGCCCGCCGAGAAGCTGTTTGACTGATGTACTCCTCTCGAACGAACAGGTTCTATGGCTTGAGAGCAGAGGTTGTGCTCTAGAGCTTCGGATGTGCTTCGCAGGAAGGATGTAGTCACGCTTCCTGAGTTATTAGGGTGGTACAGAGAAGACAATGAGCCAGGCGAGGCATGTCAGGTATTGTGATTACTGCTATCACCCAAAACCTTGCACTTTCATCTCTGTGACAAATTTGTTGGAAATGTTGTATCCAATAATCGCCGGACCAAGTAAACTACATTGGCGTATGAATGACCCCATGAATTCACAAATGCAATAGTCAAGCTGGTGTGAGAACGACTTTTAAGTATAATTTCAGAGACAGTCTCAGTCAATACGATACGAGGCGTTTGATCAGTATCCCGGACCGCGCCCCGAGTAGTCGGTCTCGGTAGCCTTGACTTAAGGGGTTGACCTACCAAAATTGATCAGGCCGTCAGCCAGTGAACTCGGATAGAGAGCAACGACAAGGATGTGCCCCAGCGTATGATTAGTTCCAAGCAATTTGTTTGCCGTAACCTCCGCAGCTTACATGAATTATGGGATTAGGGAACTCTAGAACATCACTCGGTGCCATGTGTAGGTCATGCAGCTTGCCGTAGCGCCTTCTGCACAACTCAAGAAATCAGGTCCCTTCAGAGGTACCATGGCACCCCGCCGAAATGACATCTGCGGTGAACTTTCATCCATCCGCACTGGTAGTAAACGGCAGGGTAAATGGGAAAGCTCAACTTGTTCTGTAAAGGATGTCATAGGAAGCCGTATATTTACATGCAAATCGGGCCACAAACATTAGAGGGCAAAACTCAAGCCCTAGGCCTTATGTCACACGGAACTTATGATCTGTTTAAAGACGTTCTGCTAACCTTCTTCCACCCTTGCAACATCTTAGGTGGGACTTGTGGGATCACGGCGCTCTCCTTTTTTGAATGAGGCCAGTCTTCAGCTCTACATCTAAAACACGCAGGTCTGACAAGACAACAACTTGTTAAAGTCCGACGACAATTAGAACAGTCCAAGCTTAGGGGAACCTTGATTTGCCTGGGATACCTGTCAACTTTTTTTCTTCTCTGCGGCGCGAAAGACAATCGGACATAACAGGAGGTGGCGAGTGGCTTTGTAGTGAAGCACAACAACAACTCTCTTACGACACGCAATTTACCGAATTGTTTCGCCTCGATTCAAAATCTTGCTCAGGATCGACTGAAATGGATGATGGTGTCCCAAGCATGCTACTCTGCGACTGACGGCCGACGATATAGCCGCGTATACCCTCCTTACTTCACATATACTGAACGCCGCTTCCAACTCCCCTCTCATGACACTCGAGCCATCACAATGTCAGATTCCCAGATTGATGACTCTACACCTCCAAGAAAGCGAATTGCTGTTGCTGTAAGAACTTCTCCATATTGTCTGGCTACATTCAACCCCTCCACAGCAACAAACTACTTTTGCGATCACATAAATGCTCCGATAACGCTGACTGTTTCTGA